AAATTTGTGATTCTCCTCCTGCCTCTACCTCCCAGAGCACTGAGATTACAGGTATGAGTCACAACACCTGGCTTGAGTTAATTTTTCCACATAGTGTAAAGTAAGGATAAAAGTTCATATCTTTCTATTCAAACACAGGTATCTTCAGGGAACTGGTTCCAGGACTCCCTGTAGATATCCAAATCTGCAGATGCTGAAGTCACTTATATAAAGTTGTGCAGTATCTGCATATAACCTATACACACCCTAAATCAGCTCTGGATTACTTGTAATACCTAATAAAAGGTAAATTTATTTAAATATTTGTTATACTATATTATTTAGAGAAGAGTGACAGGAAAAAGTCTGTACATGTTTAGTGCAGAGGTAAATATTTTTAAAAATTTTTTCAACCCATGGTTTGCTAAAACTGTATGCATAACATGCAGGTATAGAGGGCCAACTGTACACAGTTGTAGCATCATTTGTTGAAAAGAATCATTGAATGATTTTGGTGTTTCCTAGAATTCAATTGATCATGTGTATGTTTTTGTAGTATGTTATGTTCTAGTACTATATTTACTTTATAGTAAATCTTGCAACCAGGTAACCTGTCTTCCAACTTCATTCCTGTTTTTCAGAATGGCTTTAATTACTCAAAGTTCTTTGCATTTCCAAGTAACTTTTAGTATCAGCATGTCTTGTTTTCTCTTTTTGAGACAGGGTCTCACTATGCAATTCAAGCTGGCCTTAGGCTCACTTTGTAGCTCAGGCTGGCCTCCAACTCGCAATCATCCTCCTGCCTCAGCCTCCCGAGTGCTGGGATTATAGGCGTGTGCCACTATGCCCAACAGTATCAGCATGTCAATTTCCACAAAAATTCTGGTGGGATCTTTGTTGAAAATACATTGAAGTTAAACATCCGTGTGTGAAACATGGACATCTTGATAATGTTTTGTCTTTCAATCTATGGACATGGTATAACTGTCCATATATTTAGATATTAATTTCTCTCAACAGTTTTTTTTATATTTTTCAGTGTATGATTCCTATGTTTTGTCAGATTTATCCCTAAATTTTTCATGTTTTTACATGCAGTTATAAGTATTGTTTTAGACTTCATTTTCTAAAATTATTTTTGAAATGTATAGAAGTAACATGTTTGCACGTTGACTTCACATTCTGGGTCCATGGCAAATTTATTAGTTCTAGGTTTTCTTTTTTTCCTTAGACTTCTGCTGTGTATAAAATCATACCTTAATAAAGACAACTTCATATCTTCCATTTGAGCCTATGGATATTTATCTTGTCCTGCTTAATTGACTAGGACTAGGACTAGGTATAAGGTTGAATAGAAGAAGAGCAGACATGTTTTTTATTCTTGATCTTAGGGGGAAAGTGTCCAGTTTCCACCATGGTATATGTTAACCTTAAGTTTTTCATATATGCACTTTATGAGGCTAAAGAAGTTCTCTTTGATTCTTAATTTCCTGAGTCTTTCAAAATCAAACATGAATATGGAATTTGGTCAGATTACTTTTATGCATCTTTTGAGATGATTGCATGGTTTTCTCCTTGCTTTCAATTTGTCCTATTATTCTTCCTTTTTTCCTCTTTTCCTACCATCTTTTAGATTGTATATTTTTGTCATTGTACCTTATCTGTTAGTTTTTTATTTTTTTACTATTTTAATTTTTAGTATTTAAGCATCTTTAATCACAGTCTACTTTCTAATGATAACACTTCAAGTATAATGTAAAAAAACCACATAACATACTTTCATTTTCTGATGTGTTAAGAGTTCTTGACAGAGCCCACATACATACCTTTGTCTAGCGTAGCATATACACTTGTCTCTGAATCTAGGAATCCTGTGTTGCTGCTGGCCGAGACAGGCTTCTATCCCTTCTGTCCATTAATTTCTTAATAAATTGCATACTTTGTTAAAAAATAAAAAAATATACTTCCATTTTCCCCACCCCATTCTCTGTGCAATAACTGTCATATACTTTATGGCTTCTATAAAAGTTTCTTTAATTCCCCTTACATAAGTTTTATGTGCCATAATTCTAAATGATTATTAATTTTGATTTAAATAGTTACCTGTAAGAAAGTAACCAAGAAGTATTTCATATTCATACACATATTTCTGGTGTTCTACACTATTTGTATAGGTCTTAACTTCCATCTGGTAGCATTTTCCTTCAGTCTGAGTAACATTTCTCAAAGTACAAAAGTGATGGTCACACATTTTCTCAACTCAATCCTAGCCCTAACTAATCTACTTTTTGTTTCTATATAATTGCCTTTTATGGATATTTCATATAAATAGAATCATAGCGTATCTGATTTTTTGTGTGACTGGCTTCTTTCACTGAGCATGTTTTTGAGGCCATCCATGATGTAGCATCTATTAGTACTGCTTCCCTGTGTATTGCTAAATAGTATTACATTGTATGGACATGCCACAGATTTTATTTACCCATATATTTGTTGATACACATTTGGATTGTTTCCACTTCCTATGGTGTAAGTTTTTATGTGGATATATGTTTTCAATTATCTTTGGTATACATGTAAGAGAATTGCTAGATCTAGTGGTAACTGTATGTTAAAGCTTTTGAGGAAGCGCCTAACTGGTTTTCATGGTGGCCACACTAGTTTACATTTCCAGAAGGTTTCAATTGGTCTACATTTCTGCCACCACTTATCTGTCTTCTTTTAAATTATTATAGCCACTGTAGAGGATGTGAAGTAGTATCTTATTATGCTTTTGATTTGCATTTCCTGATGGCTAATGAACATTTTTCATATGCTCATTGGTCATGTGCATACTCCTTTGAAGAAATATCAGTTCAGATCTTTTGCCCACTTTTAAACTGAGATACCTGTCTATTTATGATTGAATTGTGAGGGCTTTTATGGAAGCAATAGGGGAGAATCTGTTTTCTTGCCTCTACTAGCTTCTGGAGGCTGTCCACATTTCTTGGCTTATGCCCTCATTCATCCATCTTCAAAGTCATTACCACAGCATCTCCCTGATCACGACTGGAAACAATTTTTCACTTTTAAAGGCCCAGAAGATTAGTGTGGGCCTGGATAATTATTTCAAATAATCTATGATAATCCCCCTATTTCAAAGCCCTTAATTTAATCATATCTGCAAAATCCCCTTTGCCATGTAAATTAACATACAGGTTTGGGGATTAAAATGTGGACATCTTTGGTGGCTGTTATTCTGCCTGTCTCACTCACCACCACCATCACAAATCATACTTCAATAGACATCTTTGGACATGTCCCTTTAATAGATCTATATACAAATTTACTGGTCTACATATAATTGTATCAGATAGTGGTCCAAGATAACTGCACCAATCTACATTCTCAGCAGTAGAATCTGAGGTTTCTGCATCATCATGTCCCCCCGTTACTTGGCATTATCCAGCTTTCTCATTTTTGCCCGTCCATTATAGGTCTTATTATTGCTCTAATATGCATATTAATAATATTATACCCTTCTTTGCCTTAGGTCACAAAAAAGTATTTCTCTTACATTTAAAAATTTTTTTGTCTTTTTCTGAGACAGGGTCTCACTGTGCAGTTCAGGCTGGCCTTGAGCTTACTTTGTAACCCATGCTGGTCTTGAACTCACAGCAATCCTCCTCCCTCAGCCTCCTGAGTGCTGGGATTACAGGTGTGCACGACCATGCCTGGCCCTAACATATATTTTAAACAATTTCCCACTGTTTTAAGATGCTCTTTGTCTTCTAATATTTTCCCACATATGCATGTGTCGATATCTGGACCATATCCTCTTTAAAAAGAAGCTGACCAAGCAATTCAGGGACTTAGATTACTTTATGTAAACTATAGTATAAAGTTAGTTCTTAAAATACCAACTGAAATTTTAATTAAAATTACACTGAATTTATAGATTTGGGAAGAATTACTATGTTTACATCAAACTGTCCCATCTAAGAATAGGAATGTCCATTTATTCAGGTCACTAACTTTAGAGTGTCAAAGTTTTCTTCAAGAGGTCTTATATAGTCTCAAATAACCTCTAGATACTTGATTTTTATTGCTGTTGTTGGTATGTGTATTATTTACGAGTTTAACTGTTATACAAAAATGCAGTTGATTCATCTTATAGCCAACAACCTTGCTGAATGCTCTTATTAGTTTTAATAGTTGGTACTTTTAAAAAATTAGGGTATCAAATTATCTATAAATGAGTTTTATCTCTTCTACTTCAATCTTTGTATCTTTTTTCTTTTTTGTAGCATTGTACAGGATTTCCAAAACTATGTAAAATGGTAGCAGTGATTGTTGGTCTCCTTGTACTAATCTTAAAGAGAATGTCGGAGACCAGCCTGGGCTACAGTGAGTTCAAGGTCAGTCTGAACTACATAGCGAGACCTCGTCTCAAAAAAAAAAAAAGAAAAAAAGAGAGAGAGAGTGTGTGTTTTGCCATAATATTTGCTGTAGGTTTGGGGGTACATGACCTTTATCAAGTTAAGAAAGTTACATTCTGTTTGCTAAGAGTTTTTATCATGAGTCAAGAAGGGCAAGGGGAGCTCCAGTGATTGTTGTAGTTCACAGCGCTAGAGCTCAACTGCTAATGTTTACTGCTAATATGAGATGTGGCTGAGGTTAGCAAGACTGACCCAGCCACATGCCCGCACAGGGCCCTCCCCTCATCGTACCTTTCCTTCTACTTGGGCAGCCCGTGTAGAGCCTATGGGACTAGAGGGCTGTGAGGGCCAGGAAGCAGGGATCCTGGGAAGCAGAACTGTGAAGCTGCTTGGACCAGCCTGGTATTACAGTTGTAGAACGCTGCTATGATAATAGAGACCCCCAGATGGGTCAGAGGCCCAGGTCGTATCTTTTATGCTTTCTTCTGAGATGTACTGCTGTCTACCACCTCTCAGGCAAGTATCTCTGCTCCCTTCAGTCTCTCGGAAACCTGTTTTCTCTGTCCTAGAGTTAAGAACTGTCTTCAAAGAGCAACACATAGGACTAATTTCAAATGGACTTTAATCATTTTTTGCTGCCCAAATACTGTACATGCAGAAGCCATGTGAAGACTTTTCTCCTTAAGGGAATTGGCAAGAACATTGTGTAAAACAGCCGGCAGTCCCTCCCAGCTGTTCACCTGCCACCCAGGAATCAGAGTTTGGAAAGATGCTGCACATAGAAAATTCAGAGCACAGATATAAAAGGCTAATTGCTTCTTATCTAAACAGTGTGCTTGTCAGTCCCTAACTGCTATCTCTCTTTTTGCAGGATGCTTTTGGAAAGTCTAAAAAAAGGGGTTCCTGCCTTCTGTGAGTTTACATACTAAAGGAGTTGACAGAACTCTCAGGCCTGCTTTCCTTAAGGAAGCAGCCACTGCTTTCTGAGATGATGTCTGGTAAAAGACATTTTGGAGGAAAGAGTGGTTTTAAAAAGCAAAATACTTGGATGGGAAATCAGTTCCCTCTCTCCTCCCATCTGAAAGCATTTCCTTTAAAATTCTCGGATCTTCAACTCTTCCCATTGCTGTCATGTCGAAGTAGAAATGAGGAACAACCAAGCCTCATCTGCTGTTGGGGACACAACTGAGGTTGTGACACATCAGCACCTTGAAAATTGTCCATTGTAGACAACCCTTAATTATTTCTCATGGTGATGCAAGAGCAAAGGAGGGAGAAAAATCTATGAAGAGGTGAAAGCAGAGTCTGTTAAGATTCCCAGAGTTGTTGAGGCAGCATCTGGGCGTAGACCAGATGAGGACCTAGGCCTAGCTTGGGTACCAGGGGCGGGATGAAATCTGCCTTTGGAACTATGTGCCGGGTGCACCCAGCTCACAACTCTCAGCAGCTCCAGATCAGACTTCCAAAGGTTCTAGAGGGAACCATGGACAACTAGCTAATGCTCAGATTTTGCAGATAAGAAAGCTGAGGCCCAGAGAAGTGAGCAGTATTGTAGAAGATGACGGTTTCTGGCAAAATGGTATAGAGCAGCCATCCCTGTCCAGGTCATTGGCTAAGGAGACAGATGCTCAGCTGCCCCTGAAATTCCCAGGTCCCTTTTCTGTTATCCAGGTAGTCTGGAAAAATCCAATTCCAAGGGACCCTTCCTGGCATCAATGTGAACTTCTTGGGAGATCCAAGGCCCTATCCGTACTGGCCAGGTTTTCAGCCACAGCCCTGGAAGTTTTCTCCAAAGCATTAGCACTCATGCTTCTCAAAGAGCACCTTCTCAAGCTAGTCTAGGCCCCTGGGACAATGCAAGTTTTTTCACTCATGTGGCTTCCTGCACAAGCACAGCCATGCTGGGCCTGCAGAACCTCAAGCTTGGGTTGAGGGTGGGGGTGGGGGTTGCTTTGCTACATGGAAAGATTAAGCCCTTTATCAGAGAACAAGGTTCCACCCTTGGGCTTCCCAACATCTGAGCTGCATTTATGCAGCTCCACCACCAGAGTTGGTGCCCAAGGAGGCCAAGTCGCTCTCTTTGGCATCACTGACATTGCTCTGAGATGCTCAGGCACTCTTTCAAAATAACCCTTTCTGAGCCACACCAGGCCAATTCCACCACCGTCAGGCTGCTTCTGATTGTATGGGGCTCCCCTCCTCTTCCAAGGTGATTGTTTTGCGTTGTCCCAGTCTTCTCTGATGTGGATGAGAAGCAGACTGGAGGGAGAAGGCAGGGGATGATCTACATTTTCATCTCCTCCCTGATCATCCAACAAAAGACAATCCAGTAGTGGGAGCAGCATTTTAAAAAACCTCTGTATATGTCAGGACATTGGAGAAGACAACTGTGAGGAGAGGAAGAGAAAGAAACGAGGCAGGGAAGCAGGCCTCTTTTCCACCTCCTGGCAGCCACTGCAGAAATACTGCCAGACAACCTTATGGCCCTGGACAAAGTGCCACCTTTCCCCACCCAGGTGGAGAGCAACTCATTTACAACATCAGGCAAAGGCAGCAGTTTCTTGCCCAGAGTTTGCACAGTGCTGGAAGCAATCAGAGAAACACAGAAGAGCAGCCTTCTTAAGGTCCTGCTGCTTTCTGAGCCAAGGGTAAAGGGGAATGTGAGGTATTAGGAGCTCTAGAGCCCCAGGGGAAGAGGAGCTTGGCACCCTCTGGGCAGCAGGGCCTGGAGTGGAGGCCCCAGGATGCATGTCAGAGCTCCTGGTAATGCAGTCTGGGCTTGTGCTACATTTCATTTCCAAAGAAGTGCCCTTGAGGCTCTCCTGTCTTTAAAAATAGAGGCTTTTGCTCTCAAGGCTGGCAGTAAAGAAGAGCTCAATCACATTTTCCTGGTGGGAGTCAAGCCCCTGGAAGAGCTGGCTTTACCTCAGTGTTCTGGCCGGCAGTGCTCCAAGAGTGAGGAGCGATCCAGGGCCCTCTCTCTGGAGCTCTCCTCCATCCTGTCTCGGGCCCCATGAAATGCTGGCATTGCAGAGGGCCTGTGGGATCCCAAGAGCCTCGCATGTGCTCCTTACCTAGTGGAAATGGGTGGCAGAGAGACTGGATGGGGAGTACTTTCAAAGAGGGTTCAAATCCCCCTTGTCAAACCAAGACTTGACCCATTTAGTGTAGCCTTCTGCATACTAAGGGCCCACTGCAGACTTCCCTGTAGGGAAGGAGTCTATGAGGGAAGTGGGACAGAATGAGCTGAGCAGAAATGTGAAGACAGATGCTCTGAATCATCCATCACTGTCCCCGCCCACAGTCCAGCATCACTGTAGGGCCACTTCTGTCTCTGCTACATCACTAATGGATCCTGCCTGCCCAGAGGAGATGGCATGACAAAGAGCCCTGTGCTGCCACCATAGCTAGCTTTCATCTGGGGTAAGGGGCATCTAACTTAGTCCTATGGTAGGGAAGCTCAGAAGGATCATGTTCCTTCCTTCCCACCACCCCCTCCCAGCCCAGAGGAGGCCAGAGTCAACTTGTACACCTCCCTCTTCTGGGACAGGTTAGCTCCAGAGTGACTTCTCAGCAAGCCCTGTATCCAGGATGCTGAGAACAGACCCTTGAATCCAGCCACACTCTCTCATATACACAGGGCAGCCTCACACAACCTCACCCTTGGTGGTGGCAGCGGGGTAAGGGATTCTACACTAGTAACTTATTTGGTGCAAAGAGTTAAAAAGAATAACTTCCCAAGGCCAATTTGTAGGGAATTACTGTCCATTAAGAGGTGGACCAGCCAAGTGGCCCAACTCCCAGGCATGTTTCACAGCTGGGGACTAGAGGCAGGGCTGCCTGAGTTTCCGGCACATCAGGCCCTTCGCCTGCCTAGAACTTTCCTTCTGCTGACCCCAGGCACAAGGACACCATGGCCCAGGGCGACACAGGACAGCCTTCCTGCTGGAAGCTCCCACCTTCTCCCAGGGCCTTCCTGGACCCTTAGGGGCATGTGAGTGCTGACAGCCCCATTTCCTGAGGGTGACTGAGTGCCACATGAGCAGGTCTGTGCTATCTGTGGATCACTGGCACTCCCCCCACTCCAGGTATATTTTCAGACCATCCAGAAGGCAACTGCCCTAGAGGTAAACACACCACAAACAGGGGAGGAAAAACACCCTTTTGCAAGTGATTCCTCCCTGTACTGTATTTCTCCCACTAGGGTTAAAGCATTTAGAGCCCTCTACCCTACTCTTAGCAACATAAGAAACATATACATTTCCCAGTAGAAGCGGGGAGAGCACTTTTGCCCAAAGAAGAAACTGGCTGGCCACCTCCTCACCCTCCTCCATGCATATTGTGGCTCTCTCCAAAAATGCAAGAATCCAGGCTCAGCTCAGAGACAGAACTGTGCATTTCCTTCTGCCCTTATCTACTTTTGTGGTGTGTAAAACCAATGGATCCTGGCTTCTTTCCCTCCCTCCCTTGCGAGGTAGGTCACAGGACTCTGGCTTCCACTCAGGGAGGATCTTGCCAGACAAGGAAGCCCTTTGGACTGAGATGGCCTTTCCCCTCCAGCTTTAGTACAAATGAAAGCTCAGCGCTGGGTCTGAGGCCCCTCCACTGCTACCTCAGTAGCTCTCTCCAGCCACGGCATGGACAGGAGGTACACAGTACTTGGGCACAGTGGCTGTAAAAGAAGCTGAAAGTCAGCCTTCCCCATATCTTGGCCCCTCCTGCTGCCTGCTTCCTCCGTACAAAGCCTTGAACCCAGGGCTGCTCTGTCCATCCCCTGGGCAGCCTTTCGCCCTCTAGAGCTGAGGAGGGAGAAGAACAGATGTGGCATTCCTGAGCCAGACTTCAGGGCTCCCACCAGATATCTCCCAGGGTCCAGCCCAGGCCCTGGTTCTCACAACATGGCCTAGCAATCAACTCAGTGTCTGAGTGGCTGAGAGAAGCCTCAGGCAAGGGTAGGAAATAAAGCAGCGACAGTTGGTGTACCCAGAGCAGGCCATTTCCCAGAGGGCAGTGGGAGCGCATGAGAAGGCAAGGAAGCTGAGAGGGGAAATATTGCTTATACAGAGCTGGTGACTGTGGCAGACCAGAGTCCAGAGCCAGGCTGCTCACGGAGCCAGGAGGCTGAAGCCCAAGTGTGTCTGAACTCCAGACGGTGACCCTGGTCTGGAAATGAGCAAAAAATAAGAGCTCCCAATGAACAGTTTCATGCAGCTAATTCCCAAAGGTCAGGCAGAATTCTCAACAGTCAGTCTCAGCCCTCCTATTCTACCAAACAGCCCTACCCTCAGTACCTCCTACCAAGCCATGCACCCTAAGGAGGAGCCCAGAGAGAGATCGGCTACTCTCGGGGTCTAAGGAAGGCTGTCTGCTTTGCCAGGTGACATCTCCTTAGACCTCCTGGGTCCACCAGGAGAGCTCCTTTGGCATGTCAGAGGAGAGGAGGCTGGAAGGGAGAAAGGAGGTGACAAACAAAGGCTAAGGGAGCACCTGGCCCTTTCTGCTGGGGTATCTGGCCAATACCCCTGGGAACTGAGACCTCCTTGTGCTTACCTATAGGAAGGAGGCATGTCTAACCCAAGGAGAAAGCCATCTCAAAGCCCTCTGCTCCCCGGGCGTCCTCTGCCTCCCCTAGGTCCCTGGCCAGGGTGCTAGATGGCTGCTACATGCTGCAAGACGTGTTCAGTGGGAGAGCTGCCAGAGCAGCTGGAATGGGGGTGTGGGGGCTCCCAGAGGGGCATAGTTGTGGCCAGCTGCAGTGGATGCTACATTCCTCAAAAAGAGCAGCAATGCTGGGAGAGGCAAAGGGTGACACAAAAGACAAGACAAAAAAACCAAGTCAAGACCACCAAGAGGAGGCACAGGTGGGGCTCTGCCCCAGGCAGGGGACCAGGCAGGATCAACCGACCAGTGGCCCCATCTCCCACTTCCACCCCTGGAAACTCCTGGGAGTGAGTTGTGTCCACACAACACTCCTCTTTCCAGTGTGATACAAAGAGACATGTGTTCACCAGGGCTGACTGTGCCCAGACAAATGAACAGATATAATGTGGGCACACACATGTGGTCACACATACACACACAGACACAGACACAAACCACACACGCACGCACACACAGACTACAGGCTCCACTGCCAGCTGGGACAAGCCCAGTAGCCAACAGACATGCAGCAGGGTGAAGGGTCCGGAGAGACACAGAGACTATGTACAGCGGGGAGGTGAAGGCCAGCAGGCCCCCTTCCCACACCTCCACCCAGCCTCTTGTCCTGAGTGAGGTCCTTAGGAGCATGAGGGGCTGGTGGCACTCTCCAGGGAGGACTGGGATAGGCGCCTGGTAAGGGATCCGAGCGTGGAGTCTGCCACAGAGGAGGTGGGGAAGAGTTTGTACCAGCCGGTGACCGCAGCACTCAGGTCCAGCTCATCCAGCATGATCTGGGCCATGCCCATGAAGCACTTGTGGTCCATGCGGCCGTAGTCTCCCCAGACAATCACCTGTCAGCAGGGGAGGAAGAGTGAGGAGCTGAGCTGCATCCTCAGCTCCAGGGCTGGGCAGTGGTCCCAGGAACCTACAAGTTTTGGCAGGGGATAGATGGGCTAGAGAAAGCCAGAACTCAGGCCAATTTTAGACAACTTTCTGAGCACTTAAGACATGCCGGACTTGATCCTGTGCATGTGACATGCATTACTTCAACTGCTCCAGCTAGCCTTGCAGATAAGGGTACAGCATATTATTATTTCTACTCAGAGAAAACTGTGGCTCATTAATACTGGGCCCTCATTAAAACTGTGGCAAAGATACACAGCAACTTATAAGTTAAAACCTAGGTGTGTCTGACCCCAGGCTTCCCAGCATGCTGGTCAACACTGTCCCCGGGAAGTAGCAGACAGACAGCCTGTGTCTGGGTCATAGCTCCAGCATTGCTGCTGACTCACCCGGCCTTGCCTAAACCCTTGGCTCTCACGGGATCTCACCTATGACTCTAGTGAGTTTCAAATAGACACCCAACATCACGCCCTCTACCCAAGAGCCCGAGGGTTCTGCAGTTCTTTGCGTTGCACATCCAAGGGCTCTCACTCCACAACCACCTCAGCCCACAGGAAGAGCCTGTTAGGGTTTGGATAAATGTCCTCTAAGGCTCATGTGCTAACGGTTTAGTCCCCAGCGTGACGCTCTTGAGAGGTGGTGGGGATCTTTAAGAGATGGGGCCTTATGGGAGATTTTTAAGCCAGTGGGGGTATGACCTCAAAGAGGACCTTGGGGCCCCGGTCTCCTCTTTCCTCTGCTTCCTAGCTGCCATGAGGTGAGCAGCTTCCTCTCGTTGGCTCCCACTGTTTGGCCTGCCTCACTACAGGCCCAGAGGCAGCAGGACCAACTGATCATGGACCGAACCTCCAAAACTGCACCAAAATAAACTTTTCCTCTTTTTAAGCTGCTTTTCTCAGGTATTTTGTTACAAATAGGAAGAGGACTAACAGTCCAAATGAGAAGTCAGGCATCCCAGACCAGCCTAGCTCTCATCTCTTTTCTGCCACTTCTATGGCCTCAGGCAATGCCAACAGCCACCAGCACCATTAATACTCAGCAAGTGGCCGCCGATGTGCCAGGCACCGGGTTAGGCCCTTACATGCAACATCTTGATCCAGCTCCACAACACATCACCCATAGCCAGTGAGTGTCAAGCTGGAGTCTGAACTCAAGAATGAGCCCAGAGATTCACCGCTGTGCTGTCTGCCCAGGTAAGTTCAGGCTCTTCAGCTACAGAAGGGGCACTACAAATCCTCCCTCACAGGATGGTTGTAAAGGCCTCATGCAAAGTGTTTCCTGGGGTTTTGTCACTCTCAGGTAGTGGGAATGAGAGTCACCTAGTCACTTGTTAGAAACTCCAGCCCCAAGTATCTAACAAAAGCCTGGCTCCCAGCTGAAGCACAGTGAACATCACACCAGGGAGGAAAAGACAGCTGACAAGCGCAGCCCCAGGAGCAGGTTCACCAACCCCTAAACCTTGGCTCCCTTGTGAGTCAACTAGGGGCAAGCGCACCTCATGAGGTTGCGAAAATAGGCAACGCAAACGAATGCACTGGTACAGTGCTTGACAGGATGAATCACAAATGAAGAGATTTTAAATGACGATTCCAGTCTTTGAGCAGCTTCCCAGCCCAACTTCCCCTGTAACACTCACCTGCAGCACCTTGCCCTGGGGCCCCTCTTCAAAGAGCAGAGCCTGCTGGTACAGGGGGTCACAGGTCTTCTTGGCCACCTTTGTCTTCTTCTTCGCCAAACAGGCTCCATTTTCCAGCAGGTAAGCCTTAATGTAGGTGGCTGAGGGGTGAGGGAAAGTATGGGGAGCTTCTACGAGTGACAGCTATGACCTGCTCCATCCCAACCTCTAGGTGGCCCTGGAGGTGAGCAGGTGAGTAGACTTAGCTGACCAGTGCAGAGGAGGCAAAGAAGCCCGAACAAACCTTGATCGCTCTGGCCTCCCTTGCCCCCACCTCATTCAAAGACCTCCTGCCAAGCCGTGACTCTGCTGTCAAGAATACTGACTTAGGCCAATGAGGAGCTGAAGATGTGCTTGATCCAGAGCTCTGCTGGACACCCTCCCTTCCAGGACCCTGTTTCCCAGATCCCTCTCCCAGCTGCTCACCTGGGAGGGATTTGGAGCCTGGCTTCGGAGTCAGGCCCCGAGCTTCAATCACTTCCACCTCCAGCTGGCCACCCCGGTCCATGATGGCAACGTGCACATCTCCTGCAAGGGAGAAGAGGAAGCGTGCAGGCAGAGCAGGGCAGGGCCAGACCAGCCAGCTGCTGAGAGGGTGCTGCAGCATCACAGAATGGAGCCAACTTCTTGGGTCGGAACTGCTCCTGGGAGACCGCTTTCAAGTGACCCGGAAACACTCTGATAGGTCTAGTGTGTGAGGCGGGGTATGACCTCCAAGGGGCACACTTAGGTCCCAACAAACGGCTGCCAAACTCCCACCTCAGTCGGCTGACTGCGGGCTTCTGCTTCACTGGGCAGAACAGGAAAGGTTGGGGACAGGGCTTCCTGGGTCAGGAGAGCTGTGGGCTCTGGCTCGCCATCTTCCCCTACCCCAGCAGTCCTCAGCCACTTCCCTTAATATGTCAGACAAATACTGAAAAAGTATCAGTGCAAAGAGATGCCAAGTTATGGGCCAGCCCAGGACATGAGGCACTGCCTGGGCATGGGGGCCTCCTTGAACCACTGCCAAAGGAGGAAGGCTGGCAGCCCCTGGTAGCTAGTAGACAGCTCATTGTGTTCCCTCAAATGGCTCATCCAGTGTGGGCAAGGCCTGTGTGTGCAGTATGTCGTTAACTGATTTCTGGGAACTCTTAGCTTTCTTCATCATGGATTAGCAGAAGTAGAATGATGTAGTATTCACTTCAGGAGAGTGGAGAATTATAAGCCTGATCTAGAAAACTGAAACGAGCCAGACTTTGGGTTTAGCCACCCACTGTGGATTCTCCGAGCCATAATACAATTGTTCATATATTCATACTGGGAGGACTAGGATTTACTATTTCCCAGGAGACATCCTGGAATTCACTCTTCTCCCTCCAGGATTTCTGACCTTTTCTTGGGAGGGAGGGTCCCGTCATGGCATTCCTAACCAAGTTGTCTTGTCTTTCCCAGTTTTGAACACAAGGGGGCACTACACGCAAGTGTTCTGCAAAAGTACGTTGGCCTCCAAGTAGCTGGTTCCTCTCATTGCTGCCCACTTCATAGCTAGATCTAGGACAGGGAAATGCAGGTTCTCCAGGCCCTTTTGAGCCTGAAAACAAAGCTAGCAATTAGCCAAATTCAAGTCTGTGAAGAAAGGGTAATTCTGTGACAGGATCCTGCACTTGCCTTCCTCCATTGCTGTGAGCGTCAAAGACTGAGCACTGTGGAGATGCACGCTGAGTAGGGAGATGCGTATCACACAATGCCCAGGCCAGACCAGTGGGGAAGGCAGTGCAGGTTGAGGAGGCACCTCCCGGCAGCGAGCTGGGGAGCAGCCTCTTAAAGCCAATACAGCCAACACCTAAGAGAAGGAGCTGAGAGCTTACGCAATGAGCCAGACTGCTGCTAAGAGGCGCAGGTGTAAGCTTCAAGAAATCTTTTCTAACTGCAAGGATGAGGGATAAGAACATTACCAAAATGTGCCTTTTACTCAAAACTGTGACTAGTGGTGTTTAGACAGCAAGCGGTAGATGAGTGTACAGTGAGGGGAGACCAGGATGTGCTGTGACGGGTGCTGAGGGCAGTGGACAGAGAGGCTGGGAGCCTGTCCTCCCCGATGAGGGAAGGACTGGTAAGTGCTCGGCAAACTCCACATTGGCACAACAGCCCCAGGAAGGGCTCCTTCCTGCTGCCTGCCCCACGTCACATCGAAGCCCCCATGGAGCTTCCCCTTCCTATTCCCGGCCACCATCACCCCAGTCACTCTGCCCTCAGGAAGACTCACCCATGGGGGGTGTTGCCAGCGTCTGTCTCCCCACAATCTGGGCTGGTCCCAGCCCATCCAGGAAATCACTGAACTGGCTTTCAGCTCCGAGCCGGGTGGTAGGGAAGATGAACCTGCAGGAGGAGGCAGAGAGACATGTGCGGGTGTCTGGGCAGCCCTGGGGTGGGGGCTAGGGTGCGGGGGCTCTGCCCTTGGGACACTGGGCACTCCCTTCTGTGCCTCAGGTGCTCTTCTGTGCAGTGTAAATGATGGCATTTAACCCTTGGACCCTAGGAATTCTGAGATGACCCTTAAGAGGCAAGGCTTGCGGGACACTTGTGTCTTCAACAGATGTTGATGCCAGAACCAAAGACAGATAGGAAACTTCAATGCCTGGAGCCAGTTCCAAGAACTGAGGCTTGACTTGATCATAAATTTAAAATTCAAGTCAATAATGCAAGGTGGTGACCAGAACAGCAACTGAAACCAAAATAACACAACTATAGGGTTGAGATGAATCGGCAGAGATGGTGGGCAGGGGGCCTGAAAATAGTAACAAGAAAAACTGACAGTGACTGAAAGCTGGCCAGGTGCCTGCCATGCACTGTGTTCCATGTACATTATGTCTTTTAATCCTTACAACCTCTCTGGGTGATTGGTACTATGACCCAATTTTACAGATGAGAAGGCAGAGGCTCTGGGAGATAAAAGACTTGTTTTGCCTGCAAATAGAGATAATGCCCAATTCATAGCGTTGTGGTGAGGATTGGCAGAGGTGCAGGAAAAATTCTGGGAACAAACAGGGACCAACAAATGGTAGTTACTACTGCTGCTGCTGCTGCTGCTGCTGCTGCTGCTGCTGCTGCTGTCACCAAGGGACAAGTGCTGCTTTTTCATGTCCTCAAGGCTAGATATTCTGGGTGTGGCCAGCAGAGCAAGGACAGATTAGGAAGGTTTGGCCCAGGTGTGCTCAGGAGCTACAATGGATCAAAGTACTGGGCTCTCCTGGCTGGAGAGATAAAAGGGTGTCCAGGAAAAAATTCTATTAGATGCTTTGGCCATGAGCCCTGATGGGCCAGTGACAGGCAGGGAGGGGTCTGCTTTTCAGACAGCCTGTGTCTTTACCCCACTAGGCTCAGCCTCCACTTCCCAGCAAGAAGCTTCAAGGCACTTGCTTTTTTTTTTTTTTATCATGACCAGCAATAGCCTGGAATCACATTCTTATGACAATGGGATCTGAGAAAGATAAAGAAATGTAGACTACAACTCACAGAATTTGGAGAGCTTTATAGCTTTATGTGTAGAGATTGTGAATAAAGGTTACAGAGTCAAATGACCTTACTGCACATACTGACTACATCACCACTTAATAACTGTGACCTCACATAGGTTTCCTTTCTCTCCTTCAGTGCCTCAGTTTCCTCACTTGTACGTAGAGATAATAGTGGTACCCATGAGCCTCAGGTGGCTGCAGCTGTGAACTTGGTTCTGGGGCAGATTCCAGTATAAGAAACATGGATCTGAGGTGCCCACGGATACTGGGCACGTGGTAGGGTATATGAAATGCCAGTGGCTACTTCCACTCATGGGCGAAGGTACAGCCGGGTCTCTGTGCTCATGGGTTCTGCATCCGTGGATTCAACCAACTGCAGATGGAAAACATTAAAGAAAACAGGTGCATCTGCTTTTTTTCATGTCATTATTCCCTAAGCAATGAAGTCTTACAGGTACTTCCATTGTACTGAGTACTATAAGTAATCTAGATGTGACTTGAAATATATACGAGGAGCTATGCAAATACCATGCCATTTTATATAAGGGATTTGAGCTTCTGTGGATTTTATGTTGAAGGTGGGTCTTCATGCCAATCATCCACAGAAACTGAGGGTCAACAAGATAGCATGATCATTGAATATTAAGTAACTGAACCACAGACTCCTGAGACTTGATGAAGCAAAAGCAAAGAACCTTAGTCATAAACTATAATTTCACAGATTTAGCAGAGGTATTGAGAAATATTTAACTCAGAGACTTAAATTTTTCTTATTGCAACCCACATGTAAGAAAGAAAAATTTAACATCATGATGCACTAGAAACCTATGTGTTTCTGTACATCAGAAACCGAAACAAAAGTTCACAAGATCACTTGTCCTTACTACATAGGATATACCTGAGTTTTTTTTTATAATGCTTATGTTGACTCATTATAGTAATTTTCCTTCCTACCATAAGCCAACACCAATAGTTTGAGAGTCACAGATTTAATCCAATCTCCTTCCCTAACTCCAAGCAAGGCTACTTGTGGAAACTCCACTCCTCTGAGCCAGGACAATGATTTCAGACTTAAAGGGAATTTAGGGTCACATTTTCCTTTTGCTCCTATCCTCTGGAGCAGGGCAGTGCATCGGTGGGAGCAGGAAGGAGGCCTGGGTCCCTCCCTGAAGGAATTAAGTGCTCCTCGGCCTCTGAGATATTGTGATGCAAGCAATGCAGACCTGGGGCCCATACACTGGATGTCTAGGGGAGGGACATGGATGGCAGAGGCACAGAGGAACCCAGATATCTCAGCTGCAAACACATAAGCAGATCTTGCCACCCTGGTGGGCTGTGTGAGGACAAGGAGGAGGGCAGAGCTGGCCAGGGTGCACGCACGTGCCGTCGGAGCTGTTGCTGTTTGTGCTCCCATCTGTGGATTCCCGGCTGCCCTGGCGTGTGACTCGACTCCGCATCTCCACTGCAATGCCTGTCTCCGTGCTTCTTCGGATGTTACTCCGCAGCTTCTTGGTGGCCCCTTCTGGGACCACCCCCAAACCCAAGATGAGAGAGAGAACAAAGTCAGGTCACAGCCAAAGCTTCTCATAGAGTACTGCCATGGTCACCTCTGGGCAGGGGCAGGTAGGCAGGGATAGGACTAGAGGCAGGACTGTTGCCTGGCTGAGCTGAGAGCTGGTCTGCAGCTTGACACTTGGCCCTGCATAGGCCGCTGAAATAGACAAAGCAGACTAAAAAGATGGCTGGACACAGAGTCTAGGTGCTGGAATTGGGGGTGACTGGAGCAACCAGGCAAAGTCCCAGCCCTGGAGCCCTGGAGCCCTTACACTCCTACCAGGCTCCTGAGGGTACCTTCCCAAGCTACTTTAGCTCTTGCCCCCAAAACCTATGTATTCTTCTTCCCTACGTCTTCTGGATAATTTGTCTTCCCTAGGGTTCTCAGACTTACTTTCCTTCTTCCGGGTATTCTCGGGACACCATCACAGCCAGACCACACAACCCACCTCTCGGACTCCTTCCCAGGCTTTATAAAAACCCAAGGGAGGCCCAGCCACTTAAACAAACTTGCCTTGTCAAGATGGATCTGAACAGGGAGAGGGATGAGTGTGGTGAGCTGGAGGGGCCTTCAGAGAACAAGACCGAGAGGAGCTGCAAGCTTGACCTGACCTGACTCTGGCTTTGAAAGAAAGGACTGTAGAAGAGCCCCAGAGGTTTGCAGTGCGTGCCCACCCAGTGTCCCTGCATCCTGTCTGGGAGACTATCCTGGCCTGGCAGAGAACATGGGGCACTTTCCCTCTCCTAGCAGCACACGATCTTTGAGTTTCCATAGCAACCTCTTTAGCGTTGCAGTGTGGTCCCTCTAGACAACCTCACCTGGGGGGTAGGTGAGGGACTTGCAGGGATTTGGGGGTTTGCAGGGACTTTCCCTGATGAAGCCTTCCTGCCATAGGAGCCTGTTGGGGAGGAAGTGGTACTCAGTTAGGAACTGTACCGAAGGTGCCATTTGCTGGCATTGGTTAGAGGCTCAAGCAAATTAAGAGTACTGTTGCCTGCAGGGACAGGGAGAGGAGTGGGACAGGTGGCACAGCCCCTGGAAGCAGTGGGGAAGGGTATCTGGTCACCTGACCATCCTTTCTCTTGCCCACACACAGTGGTGTGTTGGTGCTGGGTGACCTTACTCCCCCTGCTTTGCCCCACTTATCTTTCAGGAAGTCTCCCCTGGGTAAGGGAACGCTGAGGAGGCTAGGATCACAAGTGAGTGGGATGGCAAAGCGGAGGTGATGGGACAGGGTTGGCTGTAGTGGGTAATAAGAAATGTCTTCTCCAAAATCAGCTCAGCTTCTGGGATGTTGGAATAGCTACCATATTCAGGAATCAGTGAGACCATCAATACGTCTGTCTGTCTCTGTATCTGTATCTCTGTGCCTCTGTTTCTCCCTCTCTCTCTCTCTCTCTCTCTCTCTCTCTCTCTCTCTCTCTCTCTCTCACACACACACACACACACACTTTTAAGCTTATATATGTGTTCCTTTCACACAGGCATAAACAGATATATGTGAGTGCTGATAGTCACTATATGAATATAATTATCACACAGAAAGTCCTGAGTATGTTTATACAAAGTCACAAAGTTATAGATGGTCCTGCCAAGTCTTTGTCATGTGTATACATGATGTCTTATGTCATAAAGTCAGGTTACATACATATGTTCTTCAACCCAAAATACTTGGAATTGAATTCATCCCACTCAATTCAATGTGAATAAATACACATGCAATGAAGCAAGCCCACACATGGTATGTGATCTGCCACACACATGGACAGCTGGATAAAAATGGTGGCTGTGGGAGGATGCTCCCTGGCCCCAGCTCCTAACAGCCACATTCCTTCTAACTGACTTAGAAGACAGATGGGCTGTGGGGGTTGCAAGTAACCCTCCCTCCCCTTCACATCCCTACCACCTTAACACACGCTCTTAAAGCTTGGGGAAGCTCTGACCCATTTGGAAGTGAATTTACCTCCTTAGATAAGACCTAGCCAATGCAACATGAGTCTTCAAACAGGGGAGTCACAGAATCCTGAAGAGGTACAAATAGTGCACTAGCCCCCTCCACCCCTTTATAGATGAAGGGTCTGAGATTCAGGTACCAAAAGAGCTAGGACTATACCCAGGGGCTGTCGACTTCCAGTCTGCTGACATGCTACTTCCCTTTCCCCTCCCAATGCCCATCTAGCTGAGACGTGACTCAGCAGAGTTAAGCGCCATGTGTTCAGGGGGAGGAGAAAGGTCTTGCAACCTCAGAGAAAAATTCCTCTACTCTCTTTATATCTGTCCAGTCTCAACCCCTTTTGATTCTGGGAATAACTTTATATAGCTGCTCTCTAGAGAGCCAAGCAAAATTGCCTGTAATGATTTTGTGGTTCTACAGATACAGAGACTCCAGGAATCATCCATCTGTCTGATCACATACAAGGAAGGAGCAATTGCAGCTCAGCAAGAACCCCATAGCATCTTCTGAAATGATCTTGATCCCTCTGGCCCAGAGCCTAGACGACCCTAGAAGGGAGTGCTGCTGTCCTTGGTCCTGAAACAATAAGCTCTATTTTGACAGGAGCTGGGTCAACTTAGGTTAGCCCTATGTGGACCCAGCCCAATGCCAGGCCAGAACTGACCTGTGTTCTGGGACACCAGATCTCCGACCCATGTTCCTCATTACTCCCACAGCTTAGAGAATGACATATCTAGAAGGAAGCTAGGAGACAGCATTTTAGCTTCATTTTACAAAAGAGGAAACTGAGACCCAGCAGGAAAGGACTTTCCAAAGTCCCATAGGAAATTCCAGAGCCACGAGTAGCCCTCTAAATCTCCAGAGTGAATTTCTGCAAGTCTACTCTGGGGAAAAATGAGCAATAAACTGGAAGGGCCAGACAGGCAGGGGAAGTAAGGAGAGGCTGGTAACAATGGGCAGGCTAGATATGGGGCCTGAAATGGCAGAGAGGCTTTGAAACCAAAAGAGAGGGCAGGGCTCTAATCAATGTGGGCTACAAATAATCTAAAAGAAAGGGGGTTGCTGGGAAGGACAGAACCACAGCCCAGAAGGCTGGGTCCAGTAGAGGAATTCCTCCAGACTCCACATAGCACAGCCCTGCAGGCAACTGAGGCATCCCATCTGGGCACAGCAGGCAGGCAGCAAAGGCCATGCTTCTGGGACCTGTTCCCAGAACAGCGATTCTAGGGCCAACACCCATGGTGAGTCGTTCCCATACATCCCTCTGGTGCCAGACGCCCACCCAGGAGGGGGCTGAGGCTGGAACACAGACATCCTCGAGGCTTGGGAGAAACAAAACAAAACAAAAACATAGAATAGGAATATAGATAGGAAAGGAGTATGTTACAAGGAAGAGACAGAGGTGTAAAGGACAGATAATTCACTTTTCTCTTGGCTGTACTATGTGACCATGTATAATAACAGCATCAAAACTTCACTGAGTAGCTCCATGTGCCAGGCATGAGGATGGCTGCCTTTGCATATATGGCCTCATTTAATGCCCTGGACAACTTCAAAAGGTTACTGTGCTCGTTCTATGAATAAGGAGCAGGATCAGGTGATCCTAGCCTAGACCACCCTGCTAGTAAATGATGGAAGGTGGCTTTGGAGGCCACCCTGAGGTCATTCTCCAGGAAAGTCCCTTCTCCACAAGGTTTGGATACCTCATGGGTAAATGAATACACTGAACTGGATGACCTCAAGAGGCCCTTCCTGCTCTGACATTCAGAAATTAGATGATTCACAGGGACCTGCAGTTAGAAGTACAGCTGGGTGGCTCCCCTGGCCCCAGGCTCTGGGCCTTCAGCCGTGCCCTGACCTAATTATGGAGCCCAGGGATCCAGAAGGCCCATCATCACTCATCTTTCCCTAAGGCAAAAGGTCTTTCTGGCATCTGCTCCCATCCCTCCCTGCAGTCTATGAAGACTAAGTTGATCACTGCAGTGTTTTCCAGTGACTCAGTCCCCTGCCTTGGCTGTGGAAGACTTCCCCTCCCAATTTGGGGTACAAGAAGCCTTCAGGTCTGAAACCGGGTTTTTGTGCATGGTCTCTGAGGGCCAGACTCCAAAGGTCCAACAGCTCTACAGCCTCCTAATCTTAATGCCCTATCTGTAATCCCTTGGTCCTATCCCAGCTCTCCTTGTCCCAGCTCAAGTCCTGGATCCCTAACCCTCACATCCCTGAATCCCTGGTCCTAGGCCTATACCTTCCCCCAAGGCATCAGTAACTGCAAGCCCCTTCCCCATCTAGGCTCTCCTATCCAGGGTGCACATCACAGCTCGATGCTGGAAAAGACCATCCAATGTGCTCCTTTTGAGGGCTTTGTAGAAATCTATTTTAAGGCCTAGAAAAGGCCCCCACCCAGCCCCAAGGGGGAGTCTTGATGAGCACTCTGCCTGGATCCTCCAGTGCCCCCGCCTCCTCACCACCCCCATCCAGCTGCCTATTTGAAGGTTTCGTGAGGAAGTTGTTACGCTGAGCAGAATAAGCAGGAAGAGATTTTAAAACAAAACCAGCTGGTGTCTGGGCCAATGCCACAAAGTGAGGGGGTCTTGGTGTGGAAGGCCGGCTCCTCCATGACGTGGGGTCTGTGTGGAGCTGTGCACAACAAGGTTGGTCCCCCCATAGTCTGAACATACCTGGGATTCTGCAACTAGATGTCTGAGAAAGTATATGAGGATTTAGCTGTTACGGTGTGTATGAGCATGGCCTTGTCACGTGTGACATGCTTGTGATCTGGGTCTGCACATCTGTACTCAGCAAATCATGTGTTTTGGTTTTTATTTGTGATCATGTACAACATGAGTAAGAATTACTGTACTGTGCTTTCCTGGCAATATGAGTGGCTTACCTGGGCAACTGAGCATCTGTTTACGTAACTGTATCTTTGTATGTCTGTCTTGTGACTCTGTTACAAATCTGCATGATTAAGTAACTGCATTTGTGTGGCGATTTGTACTAAGGAGACTAAGAGCTGACAGGTGAGAATGAATCTTGTGGCTGTGTGTGTCTGTAAAACTGTGGTGTCACTTAACATGGTGCCAGGAACACTGGGCTGTTTAATAAATAATTACTGTTTATCAAAGACTTATATAAGTCTGTGTATGCAGGAGGGGTGTACAATACACAGCCTAAACTAGGAAACCCACCTGCTAGGGCTCGATGCCAGGTTACACCTCCCCTAGCTGTGTAGACTGGGGCATGTGACTTCCCTTCTCGGTGCTCCAGTGCCTGCCTGGAGCTACCTGCAGCCACATACTAGACCTACAACAGTGCAGAGCCTTGTAAATGGGAAGTCCTATATAAGTGGGTGTGGGCTGGGAGGGCACATCCATCAGCTGAGTCCCTGGGTACTCACTGCAAAGAGTCCCCCACCCCCGCCCCTTGGTGCCCTGTACCCATGCCCCCTCACCAGGTTGAGGAAGCTGGAGTGTGCTCTTGCTCCACTGAGTCAGGCCCACGATGGCCACCATCTTGGCGCCCAGGCTGCTACGTCGCTTCTTGGCGGTGGTGGTACCGGTCCCACAACCAGTTTGCTGGGATCCACAGATTTCACCGCTAATGCTAGAGCTCCGAACCACATTCCTGGAGGTGCCGGCTGTGACTGGACTTGGCTCCCCGTTAAACATGGTCCCCGGGGCTGCAGGGCCTCAGGCAACTCTGAAGGTGGGTGGGAGACAAAGGGATTCCACATCAGACTCGTGACCTGACCACGGCCCTGCCACTTTTAGCTGTGTGACCTTGGGCAAGTCACTTAGCCTCTTCGATGCTAAGAATTAAATGAACAAATAAGTCTCAGGGGTGTGCACAGGGCCTGGCTCAATAAATGAGACTACTCTTGTAAGCAAGTGGCTATGAAAACTGGCAGCTGATCTGGTTTGGTGGTGAAGACCAAAGCTGTGGTCAGGTGGCCTGGGCTTGAATTCCAAAGGCCCTTACGTACCTGCTGGGTGACGCTGTGACCAAACATCTTAGGGTTTCAGTAAACAACTCAGCAGAGTGAGAAATGAAGACCCTTACCTCCTAGGATTGCTATAAGGACTAAATGAGACAGTGCAGGTTAAGTACTGAGAACACTGTCTGTGCGGAGAAAGGCTATTGAGCATGTGTTGCAGATGACTACTTTCATAGCAAATAACAAAAGAGGGGGAATAAAATAGCCTCCAGCCTGTGCACATTGTGAAAGGGGTCCTCCTGGGGGGAAAGGGAGGGTCCAGAGAAGCCTAAGCAGCTGGCAAAAATCACCCTTCACTGCACTGCTGAGCAGTAGCCAACGTCAGCATTTTAACTCAGTTCCCTCCAATCTCCTTTCTGTACACTCAAAACAATAACTGGACTCATACTGTAAATGCAACTCTTATATCCTGGTATTTTTCACCTAACATTTTATCATAAGCATTTCCCAATGTCATTAACTGTATAAATGTTTTAAGGCCACCATAATCATCTGTTGTATGGAGGTAGCATAACTGGCTTAAATATTTCAATACGGTTACCTCTTGAATCAACTCCAAGTCTCTCTCTTTCTCTCCTCTCTTTTATTTTATTTTATTTTTTATTTAGCTCACAGTGTGTAGAGGTTTCAATCCATAATTGGCTGGCTCCAAGGCAGGGTGGCATGGCAGACAGGCGTTGCAGAGAAGAAAAAGTTCATGGTGGGGAGAAGGTAGCAAAGTAACAAGCTCTCTCTTCTCTTTTAAATAAACACAGAAATAAACATTTTTCTACACTGGTTTGTAGGCTAATGTCCTTAGGACTGGGTCCGAAAAGTGGCCGGGTGGGAGAGTATGGTACTGCCGGGAGCTTCCCAACTGTCCAGTTCCCTTCCTGCTGCCTGGCAGAGGACTGGTTTCATCCCAGTGCCACCTTGTCCCTCATTTTGAGACAGATCTTCATGAGTTTAAGGCCATCAGGGAATGACTTTCTCCTCAGCCACTCTCACTGCCTAAAGGTGGGCATATGACTAAGTCAGCTCAGTTCAGCTTAAGAGCATGATCTGGATTCTGTGCTTACAGGAGAGATTGGGGGAAGGAGAGATTGGGGGAGGTCCTCTCTTTCTGTGCTTCTCTCCCCCCCTTTCTCCCCCAAGACCCCATCTGCTATGCAGGGCCCAGCCTTAGGGTGCAGCCAGTGCACAGACTCGAAAGATGTCAGGCCGCACTTGGAACCTGCCTTCCTCTGTTCTTCCACTTACGCATTTTCCATTGCTTAAGCCAGTTGGAACCAGAGTTCTCAGTTATATCCAACAGCATCCTGCCTGACACTGAGGGTGTATTTTTTTTCTTTTTATCCTTGGACTATATTGTCAAATTCTATCCAAAGTACAGAAATTTACTCTCCTCATTAGCTATGTTCAACAAATATTTAATTTCCTAAAATTCCAAGGCCAATGCTGAATGCCAGGATACCATATACTAGCGAGCCAAGGAAACTGGGTGCTGCCCTCCCAATGCCTCAGTCCAGGACGGCAGACAGACAGTAAATAGCCAATTCCACACTTAAATATTTAATGGTGGGTATGATAAGTGCTAGGAAGAGAAGGACAGAGGGCTCTGAGATCCACTCTGTAGAAGCACCATAGGCATCTGAGGCCCTATTTTATAGGGGATGGGGTCTCCAGATGTCAGCTGCTATAACTTGGCTGCAAAGCCCAATGCTGCAGTCAGTTTCCCTGGCTCAAGCAGAAGACAGGAAAGCCACTGCTCCAGCTGCTCAGCACCTAGCACCTTCCTGGCTCTGTCCCAGCCCAGAACTCTCTTCCTGGAGCAGCTGTGCAAGCCAGGGCTCAGGGCACTTGGTTAAACCTTCTGCCCTCAGGCCTACCCGCTGAGGGAGTCTCACTTTTCAAGACACAGAAAGGGGACAGAATATGGGGTTGGGAGGGGCACCACTCCGGCTGCTGAGAAAGTCCCCAGACTGCTGAGAGTCGTCACCCGGTCTCTCCGCCAACATGGCTCCTGCAGCCTGGCGAATTAAGGCTGACAAGGCAGATGAGTCAGAGCCCTGCTTTACCTTCTTTGTAGCTCTCTGGATAGTTCTCACTCACTTTGTGACATGATCTGAGCCCCAGATTACATTTCTCCACCCCGCATCAACCATGTAGCTAATGGAAAGTCCCCCTGGACTTTGGCCTATGTTGATCCTTTCTCTTTAGTTTCCAATTCTAGTGCCAGTTTGTGTAGGTTTTTGGGTACCTGCATGGTTTTTTGGTGGAAGGTGGGTCAGGACTTATCTGATACTGTGAGTCTGCCATGGTATCAGTGTAATTTGCTCTTTATAGCACTTCGGAATGTACATAGGTATCTTCACAAGGCAGATGAGAAAACTGAGTCTCAGAGAAGTGTCCTACTTGAACAGGAAGTGTCAAGGCATGAACACAGTCTCCCATTTCCACAAAGAGACACACATGCTCAGCAGCTGCTGTCCCTTCAACCCAGAGCTCATCCAAGGATGTGCGCCCATCCCTCAAGCTCTCGCTTTGCCCTGGGTCCCTGGAGTCTTGAAAAAACTGTGAGGAAAGTGCCTTTGAGGAGAAGATCCACTCCCTGTGGTCTAAATTCCCCAAACTGGCTGAGCAGCTAAGGTGCAGAACCCCTCAACTCCAAGACTTTAACTGAAGAAGCCTCCAGGGTGCTTGAGAGCACAAGCCCGAGGGTGAGAAGGGGTGAGGGACAGAATTCCTGACCCTGCCAACCTAGAAGCTCATGTTTCCTCATGAATAATGAGTGGAACTGACAAGCACATGGTTTGATATCTGGAACTCTACATTACACACAGCCATTTTATCATCTTCAGGTACCCAGGGAGCACCTAGGGGACCTAGAGAACTTACAAATGCTTGGGACAGCCCAGCCTACAGTCTGTAAGCTGCCCCCAGGGGTCAGGAGGAGCCAGACCCACAGCAATAGGCCCAAGGTCTTAGGCCCTGGCTTCTGCTCCAGGAGTCTACAAAAGGTAGCCTGAGAGAGGTAGGAATCATGACATGGGATTAGAATGTGAGCAGACTCTTCTGTGCACATCTCTGGGCCTTAGCTTCTTCATCTGTGTTAACTGAGGGAGTCAGAGTAGGTTCTTTGGGAAAGTCCTTTGGACTGGGAGAGCTGAGTCTGAGACTGCGTGCTGCGGCGTGGTGGGGAAGGGAGCTCCAATCTGGGGCTCTAGCTCCTTCTCTGGCAGCCGGTCTAGCTCTGGAAAGGCAAGCCAGAGATCTAGACAGAGATGGCTGCCACACCCCTATACCGATAGCTGCATAGCAACTCGTGAACCATCAGACCAGAGGGATGAAAAGGAGAAGGGGTAAAGCTGGGGCAGACTGCTAAGAGGAGCGCCATCAGGACACACAACACAGCATATCACGTACCAGGGTTCTAAACAAGTGGTAAATGAACCAAAGCCTTCCCATGAAAATCAATTCAAAAATTCCTCTGCCTCTGAGTAAAACTCTCCCTTTCCCGGCCTAGTTCATGGCACCTAGAGCAGGGAACCCTTGTACAATCTCACCAAGCCGTGGGAGCTCACTCTGAAGTTCTCCCTGCTGACTCCCATCCACTACTACAGCAGCAGAAGAACCTGGCTCTTGTTTGTCCTCCGGGGAGGAGGACCTGCTGCCCCTTTCCTACCAGAATTCCAGGAGACACCATCCAAGCTTCCTAAGAATAAGCCTACATGTTTACTTTCCAGCCCGCAACATTTGGCCTTTGCCTGGGGTCTTTCTGCCCTAAGGGCTCTCCAAACTTCTCCCAAACCCTCACAACAGCAGGCCCCGGGCCTTGCCAGAGCCTCTGGGTCCCTAGGTTCCTCTGACCATGTGTCTAACCAGCTAATGAACCTGTTTTGATAGTCAATGAAGAACCCAAAAGCCTAAAATGAAGCCAGTCACTCACTTTCAACAGGAAAGACCAAGGAATATCTCACAGGTTGCCGGACTATTAGGAAGAAAGGGCTGAGAATAACTGAATCTTCTACCTCTCTTTGCCATCTTCTACCCACAGCAGACATCATTAACCCATCTCTTTCCCCAAAGGATAGATTGAACTTCACAATCTCTCTAAACACAGTTCCCTGAAACCATACCATGAGAACCAGCTCATGAGCCAAAACTGACTTGCCATCTCGATTCCAGCCTGGGCTTTTCATCCCACCAAGCAGGAAATCAGGGCCCAGAATAGGGAAGAGACATATCCAAGGCCACAGAGAATGCTGGGGGCAAAACCAGAGTTCCAACCTGAGACCCCTAACTCCCAGATCCCCCATCACTTGATAAGATCTTCTAGGTCCTCCCTCCCCTCCCCTACCTGTAAGAAAACCCAAACTCACCAAACTGATGAATCTGAGTGTAGAATTCCGCATCACCAGGGCTGTGCCCCTTCCAACAGCACACCCCTAGGGCGTTTGCACAAGGCTCCACTTAACTTCTGCTGAGACACTAAGTCTCCAGGAAAGGAGGTGAAGGCAATCAAGGCGGGCTCTCAGGAGGAGGTGCCGTGATAAAAAGATCTGGAAGGGAAGAGCTGAGCTCAGAGGAAGGGCTAATGAAAATATGTGTCCTCAAGGGCTTCAGGAAGCCCTTGTGGAGTAAAAAGATGAAATAGCTGTGGGACCTTGAGCAAATCATTTTAGCTTTCTAAACCAACCAACCAATTAACCAACCAAATTGAACTCCCAGGTCCCTTACTCTGGCTTTAGGCACTTTAACATCAAACTGCTGAAGTCCTTGTCACTTTACAATTTTAGAGCTGGGAATGTTGCTCAGTGATAGAGCCTATGCCTACTATGCATGATACCGAGAATCAAGAAAGAGAGAGACAGAGACAGAGACAGACACGGACACGGACATGGACACGGACAGGCAGAGACAGAGACAACAGGGACAGAGGGTTGCTAAGGAGCTCTAGACCATGTTCTTTCTTCCTCCAACCTCCTTCTGACTACTGGGGTCGAGATCCCTCTCTAGATATTGTAACATCCCAGAAGTCACGATGGGGAGGAACTGCTGGCTCTGCCCCCAGCCATGTGGCCCTGAGAAAGTCACTCAGCTTCTCTGATCCTCCATTTCCTCTCTCTGAGTCTGATCACCACTTGGGTTCCTCCCAACCCTCCTGGCTGGACTGGAGATCAGAGGAACCAATGAGAAGCAGGAGAGCAGAGTGATAAAAACACGTGCTCTGGAGGCAGACAGACTTAGGAGCAAAATCTAGATCGGCCTCTTACAAGTCAGTGATGGAGAACTTCTATATCAAACCCTGTGAGCCTACATTCCTCATCACTAAGTGCAGATGACAACATGTGCTTTAGGAGACATTTTAGATAAATATTATAAAATGAAGATTGGTACATGCTTAATGACCAGTTGGTCAGTTACCCAGTTATTACTCATACTGGTGCCTTGTACGTGGTAAACAATTGTCCAGGTGTTAATTTCAATTCACCAAGTGCAACCACCTGAGGGGATGGCCCAGAAGTTACAAGACTGCCTCCCACTGCAGCCCTGGGTACTCCAGAATGAGTGTGGATCAGGGTTCCTGTGCCTCTTAGTTGATGTGGGAGGGGCCCAGGAAGCTGTATCTACCTCAGCTCCTAGGCCTTTGTAGCACGCTGGGTCTGGCATTTGAAACCCCTGGTCCACCCTGATCCTATCTGGGCCCACATGAAAGGCAAGGTCCTATATCCAAAGAGAGGAAGGGGTAACCTAGGTTCTAGCCTTTCCTTTCCCCACTTGGGGAGGGGTGGGTGGGTAACAGGGGCTTGGATGTGATAGGGGAAGCAGGCAGGACAAGAAAACACACCCCACCAGGGTGGGGAGCACATACTAACTTCTTGCCTTGCTGTGCAGACCTTTGTCTCCCTAGACCATCTTATACACACACACACACACACACACACACACACACACACACACACACACAGAGACAGAGCACCGAATTTCAAATATGTGATCACACACAATATGGACCTACACAGATGATATACACAGGAAGACAAATCACTTGTGTTTACAGACATGCACACATGCACCCAAGATACTCATCTACACAAAGGTACACAGAAGCAGCCACACGGGCAGTCAAAACAGCCACAGGCATTCAAATTCATATTTGTGTACACACTCGCACATACTCGCCCCCCATGCCCTCCTCTGGGCCCCTGCCCAGGCAGAGGGGCAAGAAGAGCCCCATCACTACCGTGTCCAGGGAAGTGGGAAGCATCTTACCCCAGGCCGTGAGCTTTCCAGGCTGAGGCACAGACACCAGCTCTGAGCAGGCACCTGAACACAAATACACTCATACACGATCCAGCTCCCAATCCCACCCTCCTGGCTCCATCCCTGCCAGACCAGACAAAGAAGCGCACCAGTGAGGTTTGTGGTGAGGAGATGAGAAGGCTGGCAGGGAGCAGCTGCTGTCACCATGGCTACCGGCTGACCCACTTCTCCTCCACCTAGGCAGGCCCACCCAGCCCAGACAAGGTGGGGACAGGCTGCTTTGGGCAGGGTAGGCCCTCTGCCACCATGTACAGTAAGGAGAGGATCTCTAAGGGTGTGTTGAGGGATGAACAAGCACCAGCCCGGCTGGGTCCCATGTAGGAAGGCATCATAGACTCAGACACCCCTTGAAGGAAACAGGATGCTGAAGACATGGCCCATGCAAGACCTAGCTTCTCCCAGCACCCAGGCCTCTGACCTCAGGGAGCCACATGGGGCTGGATCTGTCTGCAGTCACAACTCTCACGCAGTGCTGGTATGGAGTGGTCAGCCCTGTGTCTCCAGTCACTGAGGACTTAGCACATCCAAAGCTGAGCAGACCCCAGGCTGGACGAGCCCTGTCTCTGGTTCAGAGGAAGGTTCTGAATGTGAGGCCCATCCCCAACCCTCCAACAAGGGACTGCTAGGGCCAGGTTGTGCCTCCTTTTCTGGAAAGAGCTGTCCTATGCCTTCACGTAGCCAGGGGGCTCCCAAGAGCATGGCTATGAGTCGTCCTCAGCACCAGAGACTTAGAGGAACAATACCATCTTCAGAGTCCTCAGTCTTGAGAGGAGACAGCCTCCAAAGCAAGATGAACTGCTTGTGCTTGACACTCTGTCAGAGCTCCCTAATTCTCTCAGGACAAAGGAGAAGCCTCTTACTAAGGCTCCAACCCCATATGAACCTGTCCCTGACTTGTTCTCCCAGGTCCCACCTCTTGTTCCTACTCTGTATTATGGCCACACAGTTTTCTTTTCATTCCTAGAAAGTGCCACTTTGTCTTCTGCCTGCCTGGAATGCTCACAAGCAGCCTGCCTCATCCCCATGCTTTACGGACAGCACTTGTCTGTCTCTCTGCCCTGCCTGGCTGAACCCTGATCCCTACTCTTCGCTCATCTTCCCTCAGTTCCAGTTTGAAGGTCATTTCTTCCCAGGCAAGGTTAGTCACCTGTCATGCTCCTCCAGAACTATATACTGTTCTTTTGTGCTATGGGTTGAATGATGCCCTGTTCCCAACAAAATGCCAAGGTCCTACCCCCTCAAACTTAAAATATGGCCTTGGTTGAAAATAGGCTCATTGAAGATGTAATTGATTGAGATTACACTGGAGAAGGGTTCATTCCTAATTCAACTAGCGTCCTTCAGGAAGATGGTCATGAAGCAGGAGAATGTCATATGACAACAGAGGTAGAGATTGGAGCCATGCAGTATCACACAAAGAGATGCGAAGAATGGCCAGCTGACAGCAGAAGCTAGGGCAGCGGCATGGAGTAGATTCTCCCTCACAGCCTCCAGAAGGAAACAACCCTGCAGACACACTTCCAGCCTCCAGAACTACAAGGGACTAAATCTCTGTCATTTTAAGGGGCCCAGTTCATGGTACTTTGTTATAGTAGCTCTGGAAGATACAGACACTATTGTTCTAACTTGCTTGGTGCCTGTCTCCCACACCTCATTCCCTGCTATGAGCTGCTAAAAAAATAAGGACCATGTTGTCTTCACCCCAAATCCCTGGTCTGGCACAGATCTGGCCTATTGCAGGGCTCCATAAATACTTGTGGAATGAATAAGTGGCAATCAAAAACATTAAATTAACAGTGTTTGTAGCTGGAGAGAGTTATGAGTCATTTTTATTTTCTTCATGACATATTGTGTTTTCTAGTTACTACTTTAGAAAGTATATTAATGTTATAATGAAAAAACAGCAATATTTTTCTTTTCAAAGCATACACTAAAGTAACAGACCTCACCACAAGTGTGTGCTCATGAACAGGGACAAGTTCTCTGCTACGTGCTTGATAACTGCTTTTTATTGATTAATTGATTTCTGCTCATGTTACTAGAGTGCTTTCTGGAGTCAGATTTACAGAGCTTGAGCTCTGGGGCCTCTCAGGGTATGGATTCCAGGGGGGAAGGGTTCTTGCAGGACACATATGCTTCTCAGGCATCTCAACCAATCAGCCCCTTCCCTAGCTTGGAAGATAGGTGGGACTTGGAGAGGCAGAGATGGTTCCACAGGAAAGCAATAGAGCTACTGGAAAGAAGCAGACAGCGAATGCTGTGTTCAGGGGCTAGTGAACAGAGCTGAGCAGTTGGAACAGGAAGAAAAGATGGTTGTGTGAGTGGGGACTGAAAAGGGTGCCTGAGAGCAGCCAATGAAGGGCTTTGAATGTGGAGCTACGAATCAAGGTTTTAATCCTGTAGGAGTGAAATCTGACAGGATTTAGATGTAATGTTTTACTGAGATCAATTTGACAGAGTGCAGAATCAGAAGAAAGCTGACAGCAGGGAAAGCATCCAGGAGGCTGCTGTATCCATGCAGGTAGGAGGGACTGCCCTGCCTCTGATCTGACTGTGTGACGAGGAAAGGGTGGCCACGCATCCAGGTGTGACTAGGGGATTGCCTAGAGCTGCTGAAGGGACAACGTTGGGGAGAGGGGGAAAATGGAATTCAAGGTGATTTATAGGAAGGATGGAACTATGAGGTTCTGATGGCAGAGCCTGAGGTCCCAGAAGACAAACCCAGCTTAAGGAGAAGATGATCCTCATCTTAGTCACAAGTCTGAGGTAGCACTGCAGCTTCTACATGGAGGTGTGGGGCAGGTAAGCAGATCCACTGAGCTCAGGAGAAGTAGGGGAATGGGCAGGCACTGTGTGCTCCCAGAGGGAAATGCAGGGTGTAAAAAGGAAGGGAAATGCCCACAGGGAAGGACAGATGAGGAAGGGACAGGAGACAGTACCCGAAGTGAGAGGTAGGAGGAACACAGAATCCATGGGCGGGGGAGAATGGGCAGTTTAGCATAGGAGAACTCAGGGAGGAAGCCATGAGCATGCAGATGGCCAAACTGGCAGCCCTACAACACCCTTCAGTGGAGACCAAGGAGGGGCCTGCCCTGGATGGAGGAAGCTGAGGCTAGCATTCCAGCTCTGCTCCAGGACACAGGGGCAGCCCAGGACTGAGAAGGAGCACAGGTAAACGGAAAGCAGCGTTTAGGATGGTGAAGGGGGCTGCATCTCCAGGGGAAGGTCTGGGTTG